TTTCAGTGAATGTTGAAATGCTTTTTTAACATCCCTACTTCTGTTACTGATTTATTTTTTTATTTTTTTTTTGGTGACTGCATTGTTCTGTACGTTGTTTGCCTTTTATGTTAACTGAACGCTGTTTGTTTCTGTTTTCCAGTACTAGTTGGAGAGTCTTTGCATAGTGAATTTTTTCACTTTTTGACAATACGGCTGAATAGTGCTAGGTTTTGTGATGTTTTTGTAATGATCTGGAAAATAACTGAAAATGAAGTTAGCAATAAAGTAAAAATAAGAGCTCTTACCAAATAGACCAGAGTGCTGATCTCTCTTACCTTGGCATGGTTCAGACAGTGAATGACATTTGGAATTTTTTCACTTTTTGACAATACGGCCGAATAGTGCTAGGTTTTGTGATGTTTTTGTAATGATCTGGAAAATAAATGAAAATGAAGTTAGCAATAAAGTAAAAATAAGAGCTCTTACCAAATAGACCAGAGTGCTGATCTCTCTTACTTTGGCATGGTTCAGACAGTGAATGACATTTGGAGATGGTCCTGCACTCTTCCAACACAAAGTCTGTTTATTATTGTTAATCATTGTACGTTTCAGCTAAATCGTTCCTGGAGAGGTTAATGACAGAAAACTCATTGTACGCACGTAAAGAGGAGAAACCGCATTACAATCCAAAGGTGTTAACAAAGCTGCTGCAGAATTATAGATCCCATCCAGAAATCTTGAAGTTGCCAAATGAACTGTTCTACGATAATGAACTAGAGGCCAAAGCTGACAAATACATGAGGGAGACAATGTGTCAGTGGAAAGAACTACCAAAAAAGGTAAAGCGCTATGGGGCTTGATCCCGGTAGCATCGAAAGTGGGACAGATTGGGCAAGGGTCCCAGGTCTCATATGGGCCTAGCCAGTAGGGTGAGAAATAATAAATATGACTTCTCTATAATCTCTTAAATTAGACATCTAAGTACAGTACCTAAAAGTTGTTACTTTTAAGGGATTCACCCCTTAGATTTCCTACTGGGACTCACTTATCCTTCTTGGACCCCTAGCCACCTTACTAGTGGCGAATTCAAGGGTGGGGGGGGGCAGCTGGACTGGCACCCACCCACACCCACCCCTCCCCCACAATTTTTCGAAATAAAAGGGAGAAAATAGGAAAATTATATTCAAATTTTCAAATCTAGAGGTGCCATAATCATAAATTTTCTCACCTCAGCTGGTGGGGCTTAGGTGTACAGACCCACAACCTGTGAAAATTCCTCCCTGAGTTCCCTCTATTTCAAATTTCTAGACTGCTGACACTGCTTACGTAGCCAACAATGGTGCCTCTGCAGCTGCTCTTCCCTTGGTTCCAAGGCAGCCCTGGCTAATTGAGATGCACATCCCTAATTCTGACAAAATATGACAAATGATTAGAGGGTATGAAGTTTACAAAAGATGACAAGGGTTACAAATTAAAGTTCAATTTTTATTAAAAAATCATTTTGCTCAAAGCACTGTGAGACCACCTGCGTAAGAGTACTTTATAAATGTTATAATTAATTGGTTAAAAAAAAAATCACTTTTAAAATTTTTTCGTAACGAAATATAAAAATGTATAGTAAAATATATGCATCACTAAAAAGAAAATAGCAATATACTGTTTACAGTAATGAAATGTAAACTTTGCTAAAATTATTGTATCTTTTGCAGAATTTTCCATTAATCTTTCATGGTGTTGAAGGTAAAGATGAAAGAGAAGGGACCAGTCCATCATTTTTCAACACCAAAGAATGTGATGCTGTCATTACATATGTTAAACAGCTGATGGAGGGAAAGTA